TTGATGTGCGACTGCTAGCTTTGTCCTGATGGAGTCTCACAGATTGATGGTACTGTGGGTAAAGCGATGGTATTTCATTCAGAAAAATTGGCGATAAAATATGTTCCTTTTAGTATTTGGAGTTTTGCACTTTCTTTATTTTTAACTTGCCATTATAAGAAAAACCAGCAACAATCATGAATCCCTTGGAAAAACTTTCTTTCAATTCTTTGAACCATGTACTAACATTTTTTTCTCCCCTTTTATTATAATAAATGGCTTTTTTTCTTTTTTTTTTTTTTTTTTTTTTTTGTTACAGTCATTTAAATACACCCGTGCTTCATCTATTGTGACAATTGTTTTCCATTTTTCTTTGGATAAGTGTTTCTCGTATAGAATTCTGCAGCGTGTCCTGCGTTGAGCGATATGCTTTGGAAGAAGACGATGCACATTGAGTTTTTTTTTTTTTTTTTTTTTGCTTTCTTAAGATTTAAATAAACGTTTATCATTTTTTTTTACAGTAGACAGCGAGCATTTTAATGATTTTGCAACTTTCCTTTGACTAGGGTGATTTTCTTTTAATATTAAACAATGTACCTTTGCAATAGTTGAAGATGTCCGTTTTTTCCTTGGATACTTGTTTGGAATTTTTGTCCCACTTGAGGCTTCATTTTAACGTTTTTTTTCCTTTCTTGTTGATGATATTACCTGTCGAGGCTTTAGATATCACAAAACTATGACTCTCACATCGTTTTTGGATAATGGAGTATGCATATTTCTCTTCGGAAAGAGCATAAATGTAGCCTTCGAACCACTGCTTTGTTATTCGCCAATTTGAACAAAAACAAAACTTTCAAGCCACAGACGATAATTTTGACTTTTAAAAACATAGTACAATTGCAATTACTTCTTTTGCAGCAAATGATTTTTTATTACCGCTTACCAAAATCGTCTAAAAAATGTGCTATTAGCCTCTCTTATAAGGGGGAACTGTGTGTCGGATATAGATGGAATTTCGGATTTTCAACTTTCGTGAATCCAGAATTTTCGGATTTGTGAAATGTTCACTCACTATCTGTCTCAAATTTTATTTTAGGTAAAATATGGGTACTTCTTTGTTATAGTAGTCTCCAATCATATTTGATGATTTTATATTTGCATCAAGCTCTCGGCTGTAATTTTGCTGAGCTTGTGAAGCGTAACTGTAAAAATAAATAACTCATTATATAATAATATCAACACTACTCACATATCTTTTCCTAAGAATACTTTTAAGAATCATTATCTTTATTATTATTATTATTTTATCGCATATAATTGTTCCAGTCAACTGCAATACTTTCTCACATATTAAGCTGTTACACCATTTCATGGATGTCAACTCCTCTGCTCCAAAATATCTGGACGGACAGGGCTATTCGTTTTCCAAGTCTGAGACAGCCGAAGTCCAAAAGATTTCGCACTTTCACTAAATTTTTGTCATTTTTTTCCATTGAAGGACATCTTGAAAGTTGTTCATATTTAACTTGTTCTCCGAAAATCAACTTTAACTTCCCTCCCAAAACAGTTGATGCCACTCAGATACACTTGATTGACCTCACTCCCATAAGCAATCTTGATCATGTCATGGATCTCATTCACAGTTTGACATACAATTTCACTGTATAATGCTGCTCTAACAAACGATTCATTGCGGAGATGGCAAGGCACCTTGAAAGGGACTCACCTTAAACTCGATCTACATTCGTTGGAGGCGGCTGGTACGTAGGTTGCTATGATCCTCCACAACCCAACCAGCGCAATAACATTCCCATTCATTTGCCATGTTTTGGCAGAAAAAAATCAGACCTATTACTTCTCAAATAAACCCTGTAAGTTCCTTGAAATATAATTCTGTTTTCCTTCCTCGCTACTGTGCCAACAAAAGAAAAACAAAATAAGCAAGTAGTATCTTTCTCAAAACAAATTTATTTATCTTCACCTACTATTTAGGTCACGTCAAAATGCTAACTCCTTCCCTATAACCACCCAAGAGTTGAAAGTATAATCATGGCCAACATCAATGCAACAACATTCTGTGAACTGTTATTTGACCATGCAATGATTTCCAAGCCACCATGTATTTGACAAAGACGCACTCAGATAGTCCGAATTAAAATCACTTCTGCTGCACGCCTGTTTAGTCTTGAGTATTATTTTTTCCTATACTTTTTAAGGGAAAACAAATTCTTAAAAAAAAAAAAAAAAAAAAAAGTGTATTTCATTTGGCTGGAGGTAAGGTTATTGGAAATCTGTATTTCAAACTTTGTGTTCAGAGTTTGTGCAATTCATAAAAGTCTGTGATCTTTTTGATAACAATTTTTGATCCTTATAAATCCCTACTTTCAGCCAAAATTGGTAAACGGTCCATAAATTTACTTATCTGGCATTTCTATCAATATTTTCCCCCCTGTCTTTTTGAATGTGAATTTACATTTTAAAGGAATGCTTTTTTATATTCATTGACAAATATGTGTTTGGTGGGTAATAACTTGAATTCATTCTGAGTTCTAGTCAAGGTCAAGATATGAGATACATTGAGAGACAACTACAAATTGCTCTAAATAGAATCATAAAGTGGTCCAACAACAATAGTTTTAAATATTCTAGCCAGAAGACAGTTTGCGTGTACTTCTGTCGCAAAAGAAATCTACATCCTGATCCAGTGCTGCATCTGAACGGCTCTTTGATCCGTGTTGAGCCAGAAGCAAAATTCTTAGGAGTTATCTTTGACAGAAAGCTCACTTTCCTTCCGCATATCCTAAATCTAAAGAAAAAATGTGCTAAAGCTCTCAACATACTGAAAGTCCTGGCCAATACCTCATGGGGAGCAGAACGTTGTTCTATGCTCTGCATTTATACTGCTTTAATCCGTTCCAAACTTGACTATGGCTGTGTTTTCTATGGATCATCAAGACCTTCCGTGCTCCTGAAATTGGATCCAAATTGGAGCAAATTTTAAAATTGTTTAAACCAGTTTTATTTATCCAGAATACTTACTTTTATTTGAGCATTTAAATAACATATATTTTGTGCTTTTTTTAAGTTTGTTTGTGCATCAAGCACTACGGATTTGCTGTGAAGCCTTCAGAACATCTCCAGTCCAAAATTTATATGTCATCTGTTTTGAACCTTCTTTGGAATTCAGACGCAAGCAGTTGTCCATTGATCTTCATTATAAAGTAATGTCACAGCCCGAACATCCTGTCCGACTCATGACATCTAATTTACCATGCCCGTCCTTCATGTATCCCACCTTTTGATCTTCGCATTCACTCACTGATTGAAGAATTTAACCTAAATGATCTGCATCCCAAAAGCTTTGACCTTTTCGGTATTGCTCCCTGGCAAGAAGTGAACATTCACCAACTTAACATTTTTGGAGAACTAAAGAACAGCAGTACCAATGATATCCATTACCAACAAATTTTCCTAGAGCGTAGAAGCAGTTATTCTAACTACCAAGCAATTTTTACTGATGGCTCGAAGAATCATGACCACGTCTGGGCAGCTTTTGTTTGCGATAAAGAAATAAAGAGTAGTAAACTTCATAAGGCTGCATTTGTCTTTACAGCGGAAACTTTTGCTATTTTGAATGCCTTAATCTTTATCTCTAGGCAGAATAGCAGAAAGTTCATCATCTACTCTGACTCTGGGTGCTCTTGAATCAATAAATAAAAATACCAGCCACCCTTTGGTCTTAGAAATTTTAAAGGCACACCTCCATTTGAGAAACACAGGTTATTATTTCGCTTACTGCTGGGTATCTGGACACGCTGGCATCAAAGGCAATGAACTCGCCGATAATGCAGCAAAATCTGCTGATATTACCTCAGAAAACGATGTCCCTTTTACAGACATACGAAATTACATTAGAACGAAGGTCTTGTTCAGGTGGCAAGAATTCTGGGAATGCGAAACTCTGAACAAATTAAGGCAGGTAAAACCCAATTTGGAGTACTGGCAGTCGAGAGGGAATTGGAAGGAGGATGTACTACTGACTCGCTTACGAATTGGTCATTGCAGACTGACACATCAGTACCTCTTGAAAGGAGACAATGAGCCTATTTGTGGCACTTGCAACGTTCTCGTTTCAGTCAATCATATTTTAACCTGCTGTCCTGCTTTTAGTCAGAAACGTGAATTTTATTTTAACTCTACAAATGTTAACTTAACAGATCTCATTGGAAGAAACCCTCACATCAACCTCATAAGTTTTTTAAAAGACATCTCTTTTTACCATATGATTTGATACTACATTTTATCCTGCTCTACCTATTGTTAGAGCATTTTTCAGTCATTTCTGCCTGGACGTTTTAAAGTCATTTCTCCATGCCTTCATCTGTCTTTCACGTTCATTTCATCAATTCACTTGATATTTGTTTATGCATCTTGGATTTTACTCACCATTTGTCTGGTGCATAATAACCCTCGAGGTTTTGTGCCATTTAAATAAAACCAACCAACCAATCATTCTGACTTCTAATAGAAATGATGCAATACTCAAGTTTCAGGGCTCAATACTTTGAATGAAACATTTCAAAATATTTCTTTTCTTTCTATTATGCAATACATCGAAAACAACTTTTCTCTTTTGGCAATATGAATTTTTTTGTAATACTGTGCTAAATTTTCCAACTTCTTAAAATTTTGATGATTTTAAGATTAATTTGTATACAAAATTTTTAATTTGGAGATTTACGATCTTTTGAATGATATTTTTGTATGAACTTACTAAGCATTGAAATGATAATATAATAAAATTATAGTTATCAAGTAATGTGCACATAAAACCTTTTTATTTTTCACTGTCATATTTTAAAGCCAGAACTCCTGTATTAGCATATTTATTACTGTTCAAAATTTTGCTACATTAAAAAAATGCTCAGCTAGATCATTAGTTAAGTCTACTGGTATAATAATGTTTTTTACTATTCTGTAAAATATATTTTAAGTCCATTAAAATTTCTTTTTCTTTACAGGAAACGAAACAAGCTGATAAAAATTGGCACTGGACTTCCATTCACAAAGTCATGAAACATGTGAGAATTCTATGGGAAAATTCTTTATGTCTGCACAAAGCTAAGTGGAGAAACACTGTGTGGACAGATTCCCATTTGTTTCTCAACAATCATGTAAATGCATTTCTAATGTAGAATGTCTGCTGGTGGATATCAGACTGTTTCACTCTCAACTTCCACCATCCCTGTAACATCATCAAACCATCTGGAGAGCACTAGTTCTGATCCAGATAATCTTCCTGCTCAAGAAACACCAGCAGCTCAGTTAGAATCCCAAATGCTTCTCAAGAGAGAAAATTCACCAGAAGCAGCCGTAGGCAGCCCTGGCTTTGTTGTAGATCACTCCCATAGCCAGTCACAAACTACAGCGCCACATAGTATTGATGCAGACTACAACTCAAATTCTTTTAATTTTTCATATGGTAAATATGGTCCTTTTTACAGCATTATCTGCAACTGCCCTTCACCACTATATTTATAGATATGTATTTATATTTTTTATGATTATTAAGTTTTTAACTTTAAGAAAAATAGGTATTGAGGATTGATATGAAAATATTTATATATTTTCATACCATACCTCAATACCTCAATCCTCAATACAGTCAAAAGTCGTTAATCCGGACTCGTCGGGACTTCGGCGATTCCGGATTATCGATTTTTACGGATTATAGATCATCAGTTTAAATCTCGTAAGATGGCATGCAGAAATTCTAAAATTAAAAATATGAAACCGTAATTTATGAAATAAAAAACAATTATGATCTAAAGTGTATCAAAATTTACAAAAAAAGAAAAAAAAAAAAAAGCTTAATATCTATTTGTTTACTTTATTAAACATTTCTTTCAATGTAAGTTGTTTAAGTTGCTTCATTTTATGTGATAATACTTTCTCTTTAATTCTATAAACAGACATAATTTCTTGTTCAGTTACAAAGTTCCGCTGTTCAAGTCCCGTTAATTGCTGTGTCGAGAATACCGACTAACTTGTCAATGGAAATTTTTTCGTTTTCACTAACCTCTCTGTCACATTCTTCATGCCTTTATCCATTTTTTGCAACAATTCCACTTTTTGTTTGTTGGACATCAAAAACATACTTTCGTTTTGTAGATCCTTTGGAAGTTCCAGCATCGGAAATTCTATTTGACTTAATCGAAAGTTCAAGTTTACTTTAATAAAATTGCTCTTAATGTCTGCAAAAAATAATAAGCGGGATCCAATTCGAAGATTAAGGAACAACGCAATCATTAACATTAACTGAAATAGATAATTAGATAATTTTAGCTTACACCGTCCGTTATACATTAAACGTGCAGGCGAAAACGTATTCTGCACTTGCGCACACGCATATGCACAGTAGTCAAGGTCTTACGCGCATGCGTAAAGCGCATGTGCCAACGCGGCGCATGCACAGAAAGTTTTTAGCTTTGAGGTCCGGATTATGGGTGCCCGAATTAACGACTTTTGACTGTATCATCATTTATATATATTTATATATATATATGTTTATTTTTTTATACAGAGCCTTATTCGGCAATTACCGTATTTGATGGCATATAAGACGCACCCTTATTTAGACGGCCACACACAAGGAAAAAAGTTTCAATAGCATGGTTTCTTTTAGTTCTCACGTTTCGTAAAAGCCAAATAAACGACTATTGAATGCAATTACCTTCACGTATAAGATGCAGGTAACTTTTTTGAGACCAAATTTAGGAAAAAAAAGTGCATCTTATATGCCGTCAAGTACGGTAAAACAGAATATTTTCCATGTTTTCTATAAATGCCCAGAGATTTTTAAAAAGTATACATTTAAATATGAAATACTTATATTTTAGAGAACAGAAAACAAAGGATTTTTTTTTTTTCCCTAAACATAATTCATGACCATTGCATTGCATATAATTGGTTTGTACTGTAGGTTTTGCACTGTATGGTGGTACAGTTTCAAAAGATTTTGAAATAGATTTAACTTCATCATCATTAATTCCAAATAAGGTTATATTCTGAGAGACTGAATGTAGTTTGTTATTTTTACGGTCTAAGACAAAATTGTATTTCCATAGAAAGTGCAATCCAAGTATGTAAGGTCTGTAATATTTGTTACATATGCCTTGTGATTGTGGGCAGCCCGATTAACGTGGTGTTAACGTTTAATTTTCCATCAATTTTATTCCCGGACACAGTGTGTAGGTTAACACAGAGTGGTGTCTGGATGAGTTTTACTTTCCAGTTGTTGACCCAAATCTTTTTGAGTGATGGTAACATTGGCTGCTGTATGATTGATTATATTGCAAGGAACTGTATTGATATGGCCTGCTATGAAGAGTCCATTACTGCTATCGCTCATTGCAGAAATCTGCAGTGCTTTTAAAATGGGACTTTTCATTATCTGGCAAGCTCTGCTATGTGTGATGGCCACTAATTTGTTTCTTGTGTCCTTGCTGGGAACCGGTCTTGTTTTCTGTGCCCTGGGATGTTCTGCAGTTTCTTTGTACATAGGCTTCAGCACCACAATTCCAGCACTTTAGGGTCGGTTTCTTGTCACTCCTGTTCCATTTCAGGGCATTGACTTGTTTGGTTAAATCGTTTAGACAAATAGTCACTTGATCCACCGGCTCTTGGACTGACTCGTTGACGGTGTGGTACAGGATTTCCTGTGTTTCTGTCAGGCACTCTGAAAAGGTGAGATGAGACAGCTTCCAACATCCATGGCGAGCTCCTAGGATGTTTCCATCAGCTTCTGATAATGGGATTTTAATGGAATCTTACTGTAGTCTTGCTTGAGAATCCCATCCATTCATGTCTGCTGCTATATATAGAAAATTATGTCTTGTGCACTTACCGGGAGGTCTTCCCAGCGTATGTGGATAGCTCTAGAGAGTTACAAGAAGGCATGGGTAAAATTTTAAAACCATTAGAATTACTTCTATCGCTATGAATTTCTTTAAGGTATCAATTTTTTTGGAAACTGCCAAAACCATGTCATCTATTTAGTGTTCGACCTTGTTCGTGGAGAGCAAAAACTCTTTCTTCGGTTTATGGCAGACACTCTTTATTAAATTTCTTCAACCATGTCTATTCTGCCTTCCATAGCCTCCAATTTGATTTTCTGTTATGGCAGAAATTTCAGTTTTTATTTCGTTTTGACCAACTTCAATCTTTTCTTGGCTCACTTTTATCTCTTCTTTGAATGCAGCAAAGGCTGCCACCAGCTGTCTTAATTGCTCATTCATCACTTTTGTCACTGGCATTCAACCCCACTTCCGAGACCAAGTTTGTTGCATGCGTGCGGGTTCGTAATAGATTGAATGCACACATGTCTGATGATAGGTTAATAAGATTTATTTTATCAAAAAGAACACTTCAAAGTTTTGCAACTTTCCGCAGAAATATTCGTACAGGTGTTCGCAATATCACAGAGTACAAATAGTACTCTGTTCGGGGCAAAATATGAAACACCAGTATTTTATAGAATACATAGGCATTCCGTGTAATTCAGGTAAGGTATGAGAAAAAAAGGTCAGGACAAGGCTTTTATTTAAAAGACATTCATTTCTCAAAAATAAAAATGTTGTTTTGAAAAATAATTAAATAGTGCCATTGAAAAAATATTTTTCAAAAGACATGGAAGAAAAATGTATACATAATTTGGTGACATTTTGTAGCTGACTTTTTGCAACAGAACTGGATAAATGATGATTCTAATCTGGTAGGATGATAGTTCCATTTCAGAACCTTGTACTTGATGATAACGATATTTTTTTACAAATTTCAGAACAAAGTGTTCTAAAGCAAGTCTTTTTCTTTCAAATGCCAAAAATCATTTGGCAAAATATTATTTGTGCAGACATTATCTGTGGTCGCAGAAAACTTTTATTAAAACCCAATAATTGAATTTAAATTTGTTTTAAATCAATATATGGCATATTAGTGAGTTAATATGTGCATAAATAAAATTAATAATTAATGTATGCAGAGTAATATAGACATTAATTATTAATTTTATTTTCTTTGTTTTTAAATGAACTTTCGGCTAATCTTTGGAATATGGTAACAGGTAGTTTGACAACATTTTGATAAAGCGATAAAGGTTACTAGGTAGGACTATAGCAATAATCTGAGAAGTACACAGTTCGAATCGCAGAGTCTTTTGTCTTAGAGAAATGAGAGATCATGAGACATGTCATGTAACATTTTCCGGAAAATTCCGATTGTGATTTTAGCTAATAAGCACTTAGAAACAATTTCGCTGCTAAAGTGCAAAATCGCCCACTTATTTGTTTGGCGCTTTTTACAAGAGTAAGAAGAACTGGATTTTTGTCAATTTTCTTTGACTTTTAAAGTGAAAATAGGCCGTGTGTACATGGATAAAATCAAGAGTGTGCGCAATGCCATTTTTGTGCAATTCTGGGATGTTTTTTTAAGTGAAAAAGGTCAACGTGTACATGGATACCATGTATGTGCAATTCTTAAAAACGCTCGAAGCAGTGGGCGATTCTGCACTTTCTCCCAATTTTGTACCTAATCTTCATCATGATTAAGCACTTTTGTTCCATAAAAGTTCTAGCATAAGCGTAATTCGGCTAGCAGATTGTTGGAAAAAATGTTGAGTTTAAAAAAAAAAAAAAAAGCCTTTATTTTGTGAAAACAAAATGGCATCCCCCCCCAAAAAACTAGCAGGTTGCTGTAGCAGGGTTGGTCGCCAAAAAATCGCCAAGTTACCATAATGCAAAGATTCACCGAACTTTCATAAATAAAAGTTTTTTTTCTTCCCTGTGGAGGATTTTTAGTATAAAATTCTAAGAAAATTACAAAATGAAATTAGTCAAAGAACATAAAATTTAAAATATGTAACTCATATATTTTATATCAGAATCATTATGAATAGTTCAGTAATCTAAATTAATTCGTTATTTAACGATATTTTTATATCGTTAAATAACGAATAGATAATTTAACGAATAGTTCATTAATTCGTTATAAAATGACTTTAAGTCAGCTTAAGAGTTCCTTGAAATGGCACCGTATAGCTTGAAAATCTACTGGAAACTAATATTTTTTGTGCAAGAATCTCCCAGTATTTTTATATTTCAAGGTAGGTAACTATAACACAACACTTTTTCCCCCACAGTTTACAGTTTCCCAAAGTTGCCACATCTGAAAATAAGTCCATCAAATTTAGAAGATTAACTATGTTGAAAATGTGCAAAGGTAGGAGCAGAAATGATGTCATAGATGAAATCTTAAAATTTGTTAAGCTAATGCTGTTGTTTATTATTTAGTTTTAAAAAATTAAGGTGAGGAAAAAATTGTGTTTATGTAATTAATCAAAATACATAAAATTTTTATAACCGAAAATAAGGAGTGAAATTACTAATCATATCATGAGCACTTTCATTCGTAAATGTAATCATTCTTTTATCCTACAGTTCTCAAAGTTAGTGTAATGAAACTGCTAAGAAGTTGCACAAAGGTAATTGAGAATCGCATAATAAATTATTTTTTTTAAACTCTAGTTGCGCCGAATATTACTAGGTTGCTTTTTGGTGTTTATATGTATTCAAATCTATGTTTTTTAAGCTTAGTTTTTTGTGTTATGCACTTGTAATTTATTTTTGAAAAATGATTTTTAATAAGTTATGTAAATATTTGATTAATGCATTTCAATTTTCAACAAATTAGACCTGAGGGGATTGTAAAAATTTTCATCTATTCATTAGCATTTGAGAGTAGAAAAAGTTTGAAAAGCTTAACACTTAATTTTTTCTAATAATGGTTATGGATGCAAGCAGTATACTATAGTGTGATTCCACTCTTATAAATTTTCTAATAATGGTTATAAATGCAAGCAGTATACTATAGTGTGATTCCAGTTTTATACATTATTTTGAAAGATTTTGGTTTTAAATAATTTAGATTTTGCTATTTTATTTAGCCATATAGCGATGGTAGTTTATAGAATACTTATATATTCCAGTCCTCGAAAATGATAGAATTCTGATTGTGCACTCAGAGAATCAACTAGCCAGAACTTTTTGATGGTAGCTTATTGCAGTTGTATTTTCTGCTCTTAAAATTGTAGAGTTAAAATCTAATTATAAATGATTTCAAGAGGCAAAATTCTCGATGAATATAATTTAATTATATTGCATATTAATTCATTTTATGTGCATTATTTATAATACATTGTCGGTAGCTTAGAAATGTTGCCACCATTATTTGTCTCATCTCAGGATGGAATACCATTCTATGACCATTTCTGTACTACTGTGCCAGTGGTATGCTTTCACATTATTGAAAACAACTTTCATTATCTTTTAAAACTAAATCTGAAGTTTTAGTCTTTTTCTTCCATCTATTCTGAATAAACTATTGCAGACTGCAATCTGACACATTTTGGAGGGAAACTGAAATTTTGGATGAAACTGAAATTGACACATTTTGGAGGCAACTAATCCTTTGCACTATGTAAATAAGCAATCATTTGTACAAAATCGGTGGTTAATAACTTCAACATTTCCAGGTCCATAAATAAATACAATATAAAGTTGTTGTATTTATAATAAATGTTCACTTTCCTTGGAAATTATCTTATAATTTTTCATAATAGTTTATTTAATCAATTTAGCTATCATGCCATGTAACTGTAGATTAATGTGTGACACCAAAAGAGATTAACACATTTGCTGCTGATCATGCACAGGTGTGATCGCTGATGAGACGATCACGCTGTGCCTTGTAGTGTAGGGTGATGTCTCAGATGCCAATCACGTGCTGGCACGAGAAAAGCAGCAGAAATTAATTCTAAATGTATGTGGTTTGGAAGAAAACAAAGTTTCATTTCATGCAAAGATCATATGTGGATAAGATTCTGAAATATATAGTTTGCAATAATATCATTGTAACTGTTGCACTAAATTCATTTTTAATATATGCATTTGTTTGTGGTATATTTTTATACAAAAATAATGCATGTTGTTACTTATTTTGATTCATTTTTAAATGCCACGCACCATCGCGTAATGCGGCATTGCAGAAATAATTTTATCTCTAGTGCTGGTCATGCACTGGCATGTAGTCATAAAATTCTATGCTTAAAGGCTTAGTATTCAATATGGTACACATAAAAATCTTTTATTACCTCTTTTAAATCATATTCCTTATAATAAGTCAGTATATGGGTACAATCTATTTCTGTGACAGCATTAACTATCAACACAGCCTCACATGACCAGCAGCGAAAGTGTTAAGTACATAAAATTAAACAAATGAATGAAATTACCAGAATTAAGTATTGTAAAAATGTGTGAAATATTAGTTCATAAATGGTATTAATTTTTCAGAGTTTTATTGCATTAATCTGTTTCCCAGTATTTTATATAGAATTTATATGTGTGTATAAAATTTTAAAAAATAAACAAATTACTATAGTCAAACCTAAAATCTGTAGACTGTGGCTGTATCAATATATGATAGATATTAGAGGATGTTATGAATTCTAAAATTTAACTTGTAAAAGGAAATTTTTAAAAGTTCATAATAAAATAGTTATATTCATCTCTTTTCAAGATTAAAGAGGGAAATGCTTATAATTGGGTGTGGTATTTCTTCTTCATATCTTCCTGCATTAATAAGTATTATGTTTGAAAATTCTTTTTAATAACTGTAACTAATTTCCTTGGATTTGGTTTTCAGATGGGAGCTTCTCATTGTCACCACAGCAAAGCGTGGATATGAAGGATCTCGAAAAGACTGATGCTGCAAGTGTTATACTGTCTAGCCAACCACTGAGTAATTCCTCTTTATCAGCAGGGTCGAATGCCAGTCCAAAGTCTTTCATGGCCCTCAGCATAAATGAAACAAAAAGTGATAAAATGATCTCTGGGTTTGATGGTAGAGTAGATGGACTCTCACCATTATCAGTGATAGCTGTTTCTGCTTACCAAGATGTTGGTCATCCTAGTCCTAATGTACCAAGCAGCATTCTTCCAAGAACTCATGTGCTAAGGTACCATCCCGGTAGTGACACAATGCTGAGTGCTTTAAACTATAATGAGAGTGACATGCTTCAAGAAGGAGGATTTGATGTACCCTCCTCGCATGCCTTTAGCACCCTAGATGGGTTGTTGGGTTCTGCTAGTGCACCTGGCATGCGATTACCAGATTTACTTGATGGAGACATGAACCAGGAGGCTTATATTGAAGCTGGGCAAGAACTACAATTGTCACCTCAAGCTTTTCCTAACAGTGGTGATACATTCCCTGTAAGGGAAAGTTCTCCATTGACTGGGTTGAATGATTCACATGTTAAAGCTGGTAATAAATATAATTATTGAATGTATTTAGTATTAATTTAAAATATCAGTATAATAATTTATTGTGCATGTTATTTTATATAACTGGTAGCAATGCTGTTACGTGATAATTAATTTGCTTATTTTGACAATAACCATATTCCTCTATGTATAAGGCATATCTTGATTTTAGAATGCAAAAACTGAAAAAAATAAAACTGAAATCAACATTTATTCAGTATACAACTCATCATCACTATCAAAATTCCCATCCATTAGCTGGACTCATCTGTGTCTGATGACAAATCACTGTTTTCATATATTGCCTCATGCTGAGTTCCTTATGTGGAATTTGAGATGCCACACATCTTAAATGACTTGACAACAGTCTCGACCTTGATATTATCCCAGGATATTTCCACCCAGGTACAAGCTTCTTTTATAGTTGTCTTCTTCACTCTTCCACTAAGTGGCAAATTGTTCTCAGAAGATTTCATCATCCATTCATTCCTTTCATCTCGCATGCTAGTTTGAAGTGCTTGTTTGAATGCTAACACTAAGAGATTCGAGCTGGGATGTCAAGCCACCAGATATCGCAGCAAGTTTCGTTAGCTAATCTACAACAGAGGTTTTTTTTTCCCTTCCCCTTATCTGTTATGTGTGCCCAGAACTGATCAAGTACAATAGAACAGATTTGCACAAGAGTACTTGGGTCGTCTGTTCCAAATTTTCTCAAACTATATCTTTATCCCATCCTGATTTATCCAACCCTGTTATGAACATGGCCAATCACTTCTCGAGGAATGACTTTTTTGGCATTATTTTGCATTTGAAAATTAGCATAGCAGCAGCTTGGTTCCATAATTGCAACAAGTTAGAAGAACTGTATAATAATTCTTTTCATGTCCACTTGTCTTCATAGTTACAGTCTTCGCTTCCTTCTTATCTACACTATTCTGTTACTTGGAACATCAAATTAAAAAGGGACTTTATCCATATTTGCAACTCAGATTGATGTTTTTTCCAACATTGAATGACAAAATTATGAAATTCAGTTACCTTCTATTATGCCTTCTTTGAAATCTGTAACTTCTTTGTCACGAAAAATAATTTTTGCCTCATGTTGAATCATTTTAGCGGATGCAGAAATTCCGATTCCTCTTTGCTCTTCAGTTCTTTCTCTATTATCAGGTCATTTTGCAGACTTGCCTCTCGTGGCATTCTTCAGTAGGTTTTCTTTTTCATGTAGCCACACTTGGATTGTTTTCTCAGTTGGAGCAGGGCCAAATCTACATTCAACAGCACAGTTTTTATTCACTTTTGCAAACCGGATTACTTTTAACTTGAATTCAACATTGTACGATAATCTTTTATGAGCCATTTCTGAGCAAAACATAACATTTTATAATAAAAAGCATGTATCGCAGGTTTAATGTGCACACCATGTATGTATCATCAACAATCTTTCCCCTTGTTTTTATTGGCATTTCTGTTGGTGGCAGAGCAACCATTGTATAAGTTCCACTGAGTTTTTAGATGTGATTTTTTTTTTAAAAAAAGGCCATATTGTACATGGGTAATATTCTATTTTGTAGATTGAATTATTAAGTGGCTTAATTGCCTTTATCCTGTCCTGTATAATTTTAATGGAGGCTTATACGTTTAAAATGGCATTTACTAAAGATCTTTCAGTTTATTTGCTGTATCTTGAAGAAAATGAATCCTCATTTAAAAAAAAAGAAAGAAAAAACATGAATCTAAAACATGATAAAAGTGCATCTATACGACTATACTTTGATCTTACGCAAAAGGCCAAGAAGCGATTGCATCTATATGACCGTAGTTGTATATATACAGTCCCGCTGCTTACTAAACTGATTGGTTAATAAACTCGGGCACATATTACATTCAAATTTCCAGGAACCAAATGCATAATAATTAATAAAAAAACCACAGTTTATTAAATGCATCTCCACCACTTTTTAAAACTTAAATTGGCGAAAAACTTATTCCTAAGTGCCAGAATACCATACTTTTACCTATCAAAGCGTTTTTTACTCATCCATTTAACATATTATGGACTGGTCTTTATTGTTGAGGTCTATAGAGCTTCAGTAACAGACTTGATTGAAATTCTGTACTGTCTTGTCCCTGTGTACTTGTGTGAGTGAGCGTTGCTTCTCAAATGCTAGCTGATAGAAGGGTGTAAGTGCAACTTTTGTATCCCACCTGCTAAGGTTTTACAGTCTTGCCTTTGGGATAGACATGTTATGCTCACAGATAGTTTATCAAATAAGTCCACGAAATGCTTCTCATCATTACCATACATTAAGAATCTTCGAATGGAAAGGTGCAGGTAATTGTAGGCTGAAGAAAGAAGGAAAACTTTGATCGTGCTTGTAATCATGAAGTGACAGATCAACTAAACATAATTTTGATATTTGAATACCTTACTGGAAGAAACATATTTTAAATTTGTTGTGTGCTTGACTTGTACCATGTCGAAAATATAAAGCAAAAAGACTTCAGAAAAATTATAAATTGTTCAAAGATTTTAATGTTATTGCCAATTGCAGCTAGAGAAAACTACATTTAAACTGGGAATTCCTCAAACAGCATTGTGCATGATCCATTCTTGCCATCAAGTGGCTGGCCATTCTATTTTCATGATATATTCATATTATTTTTGACTTTGGAGTTTTGGCATCCAGAAGTCATTATCGTCTGGCTTTGTATTTTTTCTAGGCATAAAGAGTTTAAGTTAGAATTAGTCACCTAGATAGTACAACTGGGACAAGAGCTTTCATCTCTGAGCAGCTAATTTCCTGTCTTTTACTGTAATCGATAGCTGTGATTATTTTGACAGTGATATAATTCATCGCTGAAATGTTCAAGTTTCTTCCTGTAAATGACATGTAATAAATGTTTGTGTTGTAGAGTCTGTGACTCATGAACTTGGAACAATGCAGGTGTTGACAGAAAGACCTGTCAGGTAAATGAGATTTATTCATAATTACAAATTTGGGAATTTTCTGACAGGATATTGCAATTTACTTGAATAAGGAATTATAATTAATGAAGAACTAATAAAAGTGCAAATGTTTAATAGGAAAGAATCAATCGACAAACTTGCAATTCAGTATGTCTTCTCAACAATACTTAGATAATTTTACGCATGGCTGTATTATTGGCAGGATTGAAAATGGGCAAAAAATAACAGATGTTGCTAGAAAGTTCGTCAGCCACAATGTTGTCTCAAGGCTTTGGAAATAATTTCAAACAAATCGAATGTGTAGCAAACATCACAGGGGAGGTCGTAGGGGATATATCCAATAAACTAGTTTCTAAGAGCAACAGGTTTTACTTGTAAAATTGGTACTCCATACAATACAAAATTTGCTTTAGGGAAATAATGGAATAGATAAAGTGTAAATTCCTCAGTAAGGAAACGATGAAAATTTACCATATCTTATGTACTTTAAATGCTTATATATTTAGTTCAACATACATCAGTTACGAGCCATATACATTCTAGTTGTACATCAGATATGGAATGTGCTCTTATAACAATTAGTGGTAGAAGTTTTTGTAATGTGGTTTGTGGGATCAACATGCATTTCATATTTATGATAAAGCTTTGGAAATAAAATAGCAAATGGGGCCTCCTTGGGACCTATGTTGTTGAGGATGTAACAGTCTTGTTTGCATCAATTTAACTAGTCACCAGAAATGGTTATATCCAGGTAGTATTATAAACATAATTGAGCATGGAGATATATAATCTCTTGTTTTTATTCAAGCTGATGTATGACACATTTTGCAAGCAAGTAAAGCTGCCTTATTTTTTAAAAAAAAAAAAAAAAATATCATTGAAATTTGCTAAAATATTATCTCAGTTTGTAAATATGTCTGTGTGAAATGTTATAATATACTTTTGTATTTGACATACTTCGGATTTAGATGACTAAAATTTTAAATTTTATTTAAAAGCTTCACTGAAATTTATCATGATTTTCAAATTGAATCATAGTACTTATTGAATTTGACACATTTATTGAATTTTTCTGCAGTAAAAAAACTATTTTTATTACTTAACTTTTCAGACATCAAAAGCAAAGCCAGTGAGAATACAAATACTCTAGTGGTTGATAAATTAAAAGTAAAAGGTGCTCGACCTGTCAAGGCTACATCACCGAATCGCCCTGGCACCCAGCCATGTCCTACTTGTGGTAAAGTGTTCAGTAATTCTAGTGCTCTCACAAAACATAAATTGACTCATAGTGATGAGAGGAAGTATGTGTGCCAATTATGTGCCAAAGCTTTCAAAAGGCAAGATCATCTGTAAGTATAAATGATAACTAAAAATTATCATTTTTTTTTTTTTTTTTTTTTTTGTAAATCAGTGTATAGTTTTTACTTTTGGGATCATTTTTGCTACACATTTAATATTAAGTGTGTAATTAAAACAAAATTATACAAATTTAGGTATTTTCTGATTATTTGCAATCCCTTCCGAACGGCAACCAAGTTAATACAAAAAGGGCAATAGGAATGATAGCGCACTAAGAATTCTGTAAAAGAGCAATGATTCAATAAAATTAATTGGCCATGCTAATACATAAAAGGCTACAGGAATGACAGCACTCTAAGAATATCGTAAAAGAGCAATAAATCAATAAAATTAAAAAACAAACAATTGTAATAAAACTTATCTTTTTGAAGAAATCCGTATGTAATTTTTTTATCAGTGTTGCTTTCCCCATGTATGCAGCAATCTGTTTTTGCTTAAAATAAATCAGAGAATTGCACAAACATGGTATCATATTAAAAAGTCTATTGTTTAAATAGTTCATTCTATATTTCTATTCTGGAATATGAGTTTTTGCATTCTCTTCTGTTGGGTAAAATGCCATATTTCTGAAAATATGCAACACATTTTCATCAACCAAGCAAACTCCTCAGACGCATTATGATTCCATGTAAGGAAAAAAAACATACTCAATGCAAAAAAAAAAAAAAAATCAGAAAAATGGCCATTTAATTTGAAGGTAGAAATCTGTACTTGTCTGTTCACACTGGCACATACCTGGGGTGCCACTCAAATACATTTTGATGATGCCATTAGTTGCTGTTTTAGCAATAGATATGTATATTGCCTCACAGATGAGAAAGAATCCAAATTTAAAAAAGAAAGAGTTACTGATTTATGAATTTAATGAAAATGTTATGTATTCTGGGATGTATGAGATTTATGTATATGGGAATCTTGAATGTTTTGGGCCAGTCAGTAATTTTATGGTTTTGGCAGTGTAATTTTCATTTTTGAATGTGGATTCAAAGGGGAGAACCAGAAAACAACTATATGAGCAGTGCAAAAAATATGTCTTGTACGTCTGTCACCTTTTATTCTCAACATATAGTCTGAAGCATGGATTTTTAGGTTTAATCAATAAACTGAAATACCATATTTTTTCGAATCTAAAACCCCTTCACATACGATATTTGTTTCCGGAACAAAACGTTTGGTGGAATAGTTTTCAGAAACGCTCTCTGGCGAAATAGGTTTACCACCTTGACTTGGTAAACAGACTGAAAGCCAAACAAGAATCAGTTATCGCTCAGATTGGCGAAAGTGACGTTTCCTTTCAAGTGACGTTTGCTTCTTCATGTTGTTTTGTATCGCTCACACTCTTTTCGTTTTAAACTTTATTGTTAGTAATGGAAGATAATAGAAAGGTGATTGCTATCAAGTTAATCACTTTGATCTCCACTCTGGCACTTCAAGTAACAGATAAACACACTTCTGGTTATAGCAATCAATTACATCAGTAATAGCCAAATTCTGTATATGCTAAGAATAGTTTAAAACGTGTGCTAGATAAGTCTATTTATCAGACATTACTTATGTGTATTTTCTGTTGTCTCCGTTCCAATGAAAATTTGATGGCTCACTGGAAAATTGTGACCTGGTGAAAGCATGTTCTTGACTAACTTTATGGCTCATAATTACTGTTTTGTCCATCATTCAAACAAACAGACAAAAAAAAAAAAAAAAAAACCTTCTATGACAAAAAAAATCTATATGGCTGATATTTACATCCTCACAGCCAACAGATACTATTCAGCAAAATGAAGATCAAATAAAGCATATAAATACATGAGCAATCAAACATGTGCGAGTTGTTTACTGTCCCATAGAACACTCGGTAATATACCTAAAACACATTAATTATACCAACTCTAGAAATAAGGTTGTGCACATCATGAGTTTGCTTTATGTGATTACGGCAAAGCCTCGGGGAATATCTGCCTAACAGGAGGGATCCCTTTGTAGAAGTTTTTTTAAAACTGGCTCGTATACCAGTTACAAATAGGGAAAACCAAGAAAACGCTGCTCATGTAGCCAGCCCATTTGCGGCATTCTAACGTGAGACAGAACTACCAGTTTTAAACGACGCTTCGGCCACTATTAGGCTCGTGCACATAATTGGAAAGTACAATTCATTATGTAAACAGACATGAGGGTGATAATCAGTTGTGCACTGTTTTAAGTAATCAAATGTTATAAATGCACAGCTGTTACATTTCTTATTATTTATTAGTCATGTTTATATTACGTAGATCATACATATAATTATGAATTAACCCAATAACAAAATGTGTACACTCTTTAGTACTCAAATGCTCATCAATTTTTTTCAACTGATTATTACATATCCATAATAATTTGCAAAGAACCGATGACTACAGTTGCTGCCAATTACATGATCGTTATATGAATTAAAAGTAACTTCAAATACACTTTTTGGCAATGTTCATTTTTGTATTCATACATACATATATATATACACATCTAATAAGTCATATATTTACATACAGATAGAGAGATGTGGTGGTTTAGAAGTTGTTAATATATATTTATTAGTATTAATGTAATGAATAAGATTTATATTAATGAATGTTTTTCATCATGCATAATAATAAATCCATTAATTTCCAATGTTTCAATATGTAGCATTTACAATAAAAGTATAGTTTCTAATGTATTTATAATTCAAAAAATGAAATGAAATTCATGAAAATAATAGACAAATTTAATGAGTATTCTCATTATTACATAAGCTATGCTTTTCTTTTTTATGCATCTTTTATGCTGTTTAAAATGTGTCACTGATTATGCAATTAACAATTTAAAAGATAAGTAATTTGGAGAAAAGCTGTGCATATACAAACAGATTTTAAAAAATTATTCAACTTAAATTTAAGAAATAAAATTCTATTATATAACAGTGATAATACACGATCAGCATGAAATAATGACAAATCTGGCGAACTTTTGGCGACGAACAATTTGTAAACAAATTTGAACTGCAAGAACGTCGTAAAATACTGTCAACTCTGAAATTTCCATGATTATATATTGAATGAATATATAAACATTTTTAAAATGATTCAGGCAGTTATATTACAACAAAACAGCAATAATTAAATCTGCCTCTATTTCCAACGTCCATGACTTGACAGTGAGAGCCATCGCCATATTGAAAGTTACCCATGATCCTTCAGAAGCAGAACGTTCATCTAATTGGTTGAACGTTCGAGGAACACGTCTTCAGCCGGAACATTTTCGGAAAAGTTTTAAAATGGAACTCGTAGCCGGGACATGCCGGGGAAAAATAACACATTTGTTAAATTTTGACTTAACTCAAAAAAGGAATTTCAAATAAAGCTGTTAAATTTTTATTGCCTTTTTGCACAACCTATTTGCATGAACAAGTATTTTCTTCAGGGTTTTATTTGAAAAAGAAAACAAAGTTAATGTTGGACCTTAATTTATGGTTAAAGTTAAGTGAAATAAGACCAGACATAAAGAAATTGATCTCACTTAAATAGGCCCAAGTTTCACACTAAACTTTAGAATTAAAATATAACTTAAATTTCGATAATTAAAATGGTAATCAATTTTTAATTTAATATATTTTTATGCATGCACATTTAATATAGAACCGCTGAACTAAAGTTTACTTTAAATAGATCATAACGTAACAATTGATTGCATAATTTCATTAGAAAAGTATGTGTGAATTCTTGGCATTAAAATCAGTAGATACAGTGAAATCATGGAAAGAAGTTGAAAGCTTATTCGCAAAAATGATGTAGGTGTGTTCTTCCCCTGCAGTGACATTTTGAAGAATTTTGTCATGAAAATAGAGAATGTACCTTGTTGCTGTTCCAAATAGTTCAGTTTTGTCTTGTAGCATGCGAAAGATAGGGAAAGAAAAATAAGCTAAAATGCATAAGTGTGGCACAGAAAATGGCTTTGATAGAAAAATACCAGTAAAAGTGTACGTAATTGTATCTCTCAACATGTGAAAGTATTTCTGTTCCAGCTGCAGTGAAAAGAATTTTCAACACCAGTAAATAAACAAAATAGCTGTCAGAAAAGAAATACATACATTTTTGAACTAGCTTACACTCTGTAGACCTTTCTTTTCATAGTATGACCTTTTGATGCAGTATCATTTCTATGACTTAGTAATAGTAAAATACCAAATGAAATCCTCCCATGTGTGTGATACCTTTGTTTTACAATGTAATAGTGCAAAGTTTCCAACAACATTATAAATTTTAGCCTCCACTGAAGTATTCCAGCTATAAAATGCACTATGGTCAAAAGTCGTTAATCCGGACTCGTCGGGACTTCGGCGATTCCGGATTATAGATCATCAGTTTAAATCTGGTAAGATGGCATGCAGAAATTATAAAGTTAAAAATATGAAACCGTAATTTATGAAATAAAGAACAATTATGATCTAAAGGGTATCAAAATTTACAAAAAAAAAAAAAAGCTTAATATTTATTTGTTTACTTTATTAAACATTTCTTTCAATGTAAGTTGTTTAAGTTGCTTCGTTTTATGTGATAATACTTTCTCTTTAATTCTATAAACAGACATAATTTCTTCTTCAGTTACAAAGTTCCGCTGTTGAAATTCTATAATTGCTGTGTCGAGAATACCGACTAATTTGTCAATTAAAATTTTTTCGTTTTCAATAACCTCTGTGTCACTTTCTTCACTATCGGAAGCGAATTATAATGACGAGGAATTTGATTTAAATCATATCAAAGACTGGGTACATCGAGATGAAATACTACATTTAGTAAGGAATAATAAGCCAAATAAAATAAAAACATCTGCCCTGAAGATAAGGATAGTGCTGACAGATCAACTTCCAATTCATTGCGCGCGGTAGTGTACCCCCCCCCCTCCCTGCCGCTGAGCAGTGTGAAATTGATAAACAAATTTCTGAATGGTTAGATAAACAAAGGATCCATTATCC